AGTTTTAGGGGTATGCGCTTACAAATCCTTGAGAGGTGAGTAAAATTTGCTTTGCAAAATATGAAAAAGTTCACCTCGGAAGTGCTTCCAGATACTGCTCATATTGGACGATCTTCGAAGATATGACGGGATTTTTTCACTAGTCCATACCAGTTTCAAATTACAATATCGACCTTGCTGTGATGAATTTGGATATGAATGGATATTTTAATAAATGTACCCCGAAACAATGGGATCGAAACGAGAAAAAGTCATGGCTGTTCCCACGGGCGCCATTAGGGCGATGAGTTAACCGTTCGCTTGGAAGCGACAACATAAACATATGTTCGGAATTAGTGCGATTCAGCATAAGTCACAGAATATTTATGGCGCGAGACTATCTCAGTTTGAGACTACCGAATATTTCGTTTCAAAGCTACCATGGTTATTCGCCAAAATCTCCCACGACATTATACGCTGGTGTGAGATTTCATACACTCTTTTCCCAGGATAGGCAGAAAGCCTGTTTCCTTCTGACTTTTACTCATGGAGAGCGACACTTTAGTGCAATGTAAGCTGACTTCTGTTTATGTCGTTCAACAAAATCGATAGAACTGGCTTTGGATGACCATAAGACTCTATTTCTACCTTGACAACTACATCACTATAATACTTAGACGTTACCCTGTCTTTTGGTTATAGAATCACAGAGTATGGCATAGACTCGGGTTGTATGAACTGAGGAACTTTTGCCTAAAATTAATCTTTATGAAGCGTTTTCCAAGCGAGAATATCCGTAAAACTGGGAGGCGATTTTAATGTTGGGTGATCGTCATTTGTGTGACCTTGAGTCGTCTTCATACTTGTCTCGATGGCAGACAATCACAAATACTTGCGAAAAGAAATGCTCGTGTTACGTGTGTCAATGCGCTTCCCAGGTATGTGATGCGACTCGCGCGGAATTTTGCCCTAAATTCGTGGATATTATAGTTGAATCAAGGCTTTATGTTCCGTCATATCCGAATCTCGGAAGTCCCCATCATCAACAGAGTTATTTGGATACTCAATCTTTTGAAATTGCTGGATGATCGATCGAAATAAAATCGAAGGTCATGCCGTTGTCTGTTAGAGGCCGCAGGGAACAAATCCCGATAATTTAAGTACACAGGTGATGCGGTAATTTGTACTCATATTGAGTCAATATGTTGTCATTTTGGAGGATCATGCAATCACAATTAAGCACTCATCTTTTTGCGTTGTAAGTTAGAAACTTGATTGCTGTTTCGTGCTTACTACTTTGAGCAAAACGAAATGGCTTACCACTTTTAACATTCTTTAAGTTGCGTCACAGGATTCGGCTCAAAGGTTCTATAAGAAGTATACGTGTCTGTAGCCTCTGGCTAATAAACTTATAGCAAAGCCAAGACGGTAGTCTTTGTTATAAACAGCATGAATCCGTCTTGCCAAAGAGGCGCTCGAACTTTGAAGGACCAGAAAATCGTCTTGCTGAATTGAAAAGTTATGCAGTTGCACCACAGGTGTCAACGTAAGATACGAGATACGGGGAGGGCCGCATGTCTAGAAACACAGATGTTGGTGAAAAGTGTCTCATAAAGCCACATGTCAACCAATAAGGCGAGTACTAAATAATAACCGATAATTGAAGCTGCAATGACTACATTTGTTGCAAACTGCTCTCGACAAGTAAGATTGATTTTGGTTTGTAAATGGTCCAACCATAGTCAGTAGCATGTCAGTGAAAAAAATTACCTCCGGAAATATCCCAATATTGAAAACCACTCATAGAGTAATTGGTGCTGGAATTAATGCAAAAACATACTCATCTGCATTCTCATTTGGTCTCCACGGGTGACTCACCTAGAGCCCAGCTAACTCTCTCTTTTATGATTCCAAAAATTTTTCAGCAGCCCCATAAGTAATGTGTAACTGCAAAAATTGGGATAGTGAGCCAAACTTCCAGAAACAGAAATCAGAGTGGACTTTCTCTAACTAGATTCCTTTGCTCATTGATTTAGGAGAATCATGGGGAAGCCCATGAATATGCTATACGAAGGCCACCTCGTGCTGGTTGGTAGAATACTTTAAATATCACGTCGTGTTTCCTTGACTGAAAACTACTCACAAAGATTCTTAAGGTACTTCGGCAGATCAGAACTTTTTACTCCCTCTGTAGTGCTCAGCGATCAGGCGTTTTTCTCGAGTTTCCTTCAACCCTATGCGCTACTTCTCTACCTGAATTTTCCAATGCTCCCATTTGCACGTTAGTTTGGTTTTCACGGAAAACCCAACCAAATCTAGCCGGATCTTTGGTTTTTGATGGTCTTGTTCAACTGAATGTGTTGTACAAGATCAACATATATTTCATTTGGTATGTTATACTAGATGTCAGAGTGCGGTCGAAAAAATACTGTCATAAATGTGAAATTTATCCGAGGTTTACCTGAGTCCCACTTCAAAACCGAGCCATCCTTTGGCGGTGAATGCGATTTCTTAGTAGATGTAACAGAATAAGTTTCCTAAAACACTACTGGATGGTCTCGAAAGCGAATAAGTGTGACAGTAACTGCACGCAGATGACACACTATCATCCAAAGCGAAAGGATCTTTACGGAAGTTCATAGACTCCATCCCAAACAGGCACGCTAAGGTTGGGACCAAAGTGGATGAAAGGAAAAAAGTTAATTTTTTAGTTGTGTCCATCAGTGTTCCCAAAGGAATCAAGAAACAGCCGACGAACCAGTAAATCTTGATGGCTTCACGTAGATGTGACATTAAAGAAACGGTTGATTTGTAGCTGACTGCATTCCGTCAGTTGTGTGGAGCCAGTAACTTAGTGCCCAGGTGATGTGGTTTCCGTGAGTGAAGAATGGGGGAAGTAATCACATGGTCGATCGTCCGGTTGAGGCCGAACGGTTAATTCTTGGACCATTGGCTGAAAGTTCGCGGGTTCGTGACTCTGAATTTCGTGAGATAGGTTCTTCTGACGATTCCCAACAGGGATGAAGTGGCTGTCCAAAGCTTCTCGGCCTTTCACAATAGATCAACTTTACTTATGGTTGGAAATTAACAACTCTAACGCTACCACTAGTCGAAATTCTACTTCGCCGTCCTTCCGGATGTTAGGGATGTCATCGGTGCGGAAGATTACATGCCGTGTCCCATACGGTCTCTAATCACCAGTTACTTTCACGTCAAGGCAGCTTGTCGTTCGTAAAACTTTTGTCAAAAGTGTTCGGAGCTAAGACAATACGGTCTCTGATCGACAGCTTCTGAGAAGGCGTAGTGCGTGTCCTCAGGTCCTTTATCCCGGACCGATTAAGCGGCAGAGTGGGAAAATGTATTTCTCACAAATGACATCCAGGTGTACTGTACTTTCCTGTCTTTTTTCAATGGAGCCCAGTCAACTCAACTGCACGCGGCGAATAACTGGTACAAACAGCGCAATTTTGAAAATCTAGGCGTTTTTGAGAACTATTATTTCGTGATGTTGAATGCGCGATTTTGTGTTTATATTCGGATCGTGTTGTGCCACCGAATTTTAGTTTTTGTCATAGTGCGGCCGCAAACTACTAACTTTAGATTGAGTCTAGTACTATCTTTCAGGATTCAGGAATATGCCTGTCAGATGCCAGTGCACGTCCAAAAATAAAAAACCGCTACTTGAAGAAGTAGTGGGAAAATGTATTTCTCACAAATGACATCCAGGTGTACTGTACTTTCCTGTCTTTTTTCAATGGAGCCCAGTCAACTCAACTGCACGCGGCGAATAACTGGTACAAACAGCGCAATTTTGAAAATCTAGGCGTTTTTGAGAACTATTATTTCGTGATGTTGAATGCGCGATTTTGTGTTTATATTCGGATCGTGTTGTGCCACCGAATTTTAGTTTTTGTCATAGTGCGGCCGCAAACTACTAACTTTAGATTGAGTCTAGTACTATCTTTCAGGATTCAGGAATATGCCTGTCAGATGCCAGTGCACGTCCAAAAATAAAAAACCGCTACTCTTTTGAAGAAGTGATCGAGATACGACAAGTAACCATGAAAATCCGAAAGGAATTCTCGAGCACGTTTAGCGTCTCATATAGCTGTCACCAAGGTGGCCGGAAAAACGGCTGAATTATTCAAAAATGATGGCTATCCAGACTAGGTATTGTGAATTTCAGGAAGGCAGATTCTCCTAGATATGTCAGCTTCCAGTATGATTTACTTGGGTAATTTCTGAATGCTTTTGTTCCAATGAAGTTCATCAATCGACGAACTAACACAGGCGAATGTAATGCTGTTCATGCACGCAATCTCTTGTTCAAGAAGCACGACTGTGTTTTCTGAATTATCCTCTTGTATTAGTGACCTTAACAGTAATTTATCCTGTGAAATGACCCAGGGATTTACGAGATGGAATGCAGTCTGCCCGCACATAATTTATGCAGTTATCTGCAACATATTTCCGGTTTCATAAATCCCGCGGGAATGGTCACGGATGCCATTCGCCCTCTTGTGATGAATTTATCAAGCGAACATCAGCCAGTCCTCTATCCCTCTCTCTCTCTATTTTGACTCATCCACGCCCAGTGACCTTAACCTTCGTGCGGCTGCTTACCTAGGCTGAGAGAGAGCCAAGATGCATCAGTAGGTATTGTATGTCCTCTTTTGCCCCTTGTCTTCAGTGTGAGTGTTCTGAATGTGCGTGCTAACCAAATTGACACCCAGAGGAATATCTCGGCTAGGTTGTTGGACAGATACACGAAAGGTTTTATGCAGCCACAATTGGGCTAGCCAGAGGAGTTGCTGGGTTCCCCTTCCAAATTGTTTGAAACGAATGCTAGGACGGCGGCATTTACAAGAGAAGTGATTGAGATAAGCACAGAGAGTAAGTGGAAGTTGACGTTTTAAAATTTTTTGAATCAAGTAGCTTTGCTATCAAAATTAGTGTTGGTTAAAATTTTTTATCATCGTCATGATTGATAAAGTTTGAGTGGTCTGTCTTCTGCTCTACAG